ACCATACCGAACACCAACACAACTTCAACCACAAGGTCAGTGAAAATCTTGAGCCACAAAAGGTTATGTCCTTATGTCAACATAACTCAGAGAAGTTTCCATTTATTATAATTTTCTATGTCAATGGTAATTTTCTCTTGAAGTTAAATTTCTCTGAACACATTAGTTTCTGCTGCTCATTTCTATTGATTTCTACTGCTCATTTGATTTTCTCTGTCTATTTTCTTATTCGATTTTTGGGGCTTGTTTGATTTTCACTGTGTATAGTTGGAATGCAAGTGGAAGAACAACCAACAACCCAACAAGAACAAATGATACACAAAGAACAACCGAAACAAAAGACAAAAATCTAAGCTAACTGGAAAATATTAAATCAAATAAATTTACATATTAAAATATCATCTGTTACTTTAGAGAAATTTCACTTTTACTGATATTTTCACTGTCTACAGTAAAAAAAGATTCGACATCAATGATAAAAGATTTAAAGGCAAAAGAAAGGAAGGAAAAACAACACGATCTAGAATTTCAATATCCCAAAGTTGCGAAAGTAACTAGAGGTTCAAAACAAGCTGCAAAGCAAACTGAGCAAACCACGAAGAACAAAGAAGTACTTGATGATGATGCGTACGTCTTGTCTCAACCTACAAGCATCAGAAAATATTGGGTCTTTCCACAAACTCTACCGATTTCAAGATTGATAAAAGATCATGTAAAAGACATGTTGCAGCACATATCAAATGTGTCTGGACTGGAGTAAGTACAGCAAATAAAATAGAAGATAACAAACAACAAATTACAAACTTATATTGCATTAACAACAATTAAATCCCTTCTTTGTCATCCTGTTGGGCTTTAATTTGGACAAGTGAGTTGAATCTCATTACCTTCCAAGACATTGAAAACCTAATAAAACAAAAAGAAATTGCCAACAAAGTAAGTCTTTCATCAAAATTTCTCTACAATGTTCTATCAGCCTTTATAAACCAATATTATTACAATTATAAATCATATTTTTTAGGTTATTGATGGCTATGGATAGATCCTTCTTGCTGACCAAAGGAGAGAAAGCCAACAACCAACTTCATTTTTTTTCACATCCATGAGCTTAGTATGTTACTACTCTTTTATTTGATTTTCTCTGAAATTTACTTACCATTATCTCTTGTTAAGATACTTCTTGAAGCCAGTTGTGTCACTAGTCTAATTTTCTTTGGCTAGTTGTGTGCATTTAAAATTTCTCTGTGTATATTTTTTAAATTCCTATCATTTCAACTTTCTCATAACATAATCATTTTTTGATTTTCTCAGACCACCAAATTTCATCAGGATGACAGAAAATCAAGCTTTTCGAGTGTCCTTATTTGACAGGCATATTAAAATAGCATGGAGGAACTACATGTTCCTCAATTTCCCAATAAATATTGGAGGTAATAAGAAGTCCACACATGAAAATCACTGGACCTTGCTTGTCGTGGACAAACAAGACAATTTATGAAAGTTCTACAACTCACTGAGGCCAATGAGGGATGATGCAGAAGACAAATATGTCATAAATGCAAAACAATTGGTAACGAGTGCAAATTTCTCTAATCTATCATAATGTTTATGTGATGATAATTTTCATAGAATTCCATTGATTTGTCTGTAAATTTTTCTGTTATTTAAAAATTATTTTTTTGCAGCAAGATTATATGGAGAATTTTTTGAAAGCTTGCCTTGAAAGAGAGGCTCAATCACAACCCTCTTTCAAATTAATAAACTCGCAAAACACAAGTTACGACTTTGAGTATGTCAACAATGCTCCACAACAAGATAGTGATTCGTAAGTTTCATACAACATCTATAAACAAGATAATCTGATTTGCATATTTCTTAAAACTAACCATACCTATAATTTGTATGCAGTCTGGATTGTGGCCTCTTTGTCTGCTATATAATGAAACAATATAGCAAGCATGAACCTATCAGCTCCAAATTGTCCACACAAGACATAATGTTGATGAGGGCAGAACTCATGAGAGATTTGTGACCGAAGTTGGCCGGTCATGGACTGAACCAATTGAAATACCTCCAGAAGAAGAACAAAAAATGTAATAGTGAAACTAGTGAAAGGAAGACAATGTACATATCCACACAGAGAAAATTATCTCACATATATGTATATATCCACACAGTATTAAACATTCAATTTTTTTATTCATACATTGAAGGAATAATGATACTTGACATATATGTATATATCATTTTTTGACATATATAAATTTCATTTTTTTTTTTAATTTTGACTAATGTAAATTTCATACATATCAATGGTTATATATATATATATATATTTATTGTGATTGTCAACACAATCCACACAGAGAACATAAAATGGAATTTTTGAGTTATGAATTTCTCTGGATTGAGTGATTTGGAGAGGGAAATTTCTCTGGGTTGGTGAGGAAAATTTCTCTGGCTTTGAGAAAAATTTCTGAGTTGAAGTGATTATACATAAATTCTTCCCTGGTCTAGAGAAATTCTCAACTCAAAGAAATTTCAAAAGAGCTTAATTTTGTTTCTTGGTTGTACTCAGTGCAATAATTTTGTGTATGCTCTGTCTGGTGTGCACATTTCTTGAAGTGAGTCCAGAAAAATTCTTCCCTGGTAAGAATTTCTCTATGAAGTCCAGATAAATTCTCTGAATTTCTCTACTTTAAACTTACAGAAATTCAACAAACAAAATGCACACTGTAATTTTTGATGCTATTGGCAAATTTCTCTGGATGAATTGGACCTCACAAAACACAATGCAGATTTCAACAAATACAATGCCCATAGTAAATTTCTCTTCCACTGGCAAACTTCTATGGATAAATTTGACTGATATGAAGTTACCGGAAATTCACAAAGAAATTTAACTTGTATTGTGCCAAAGAAGGTGCCTATACGATCATGTAATCTGTAATGCACTGTGTTAGTACAAAACAATTATCAAATTCAAAAAATACAATCCACACAGTACTTTCCTTTGCTATTATCAAATTTATGTGAATGAATTTGAAGCTTCAAAACACAATGCACAGAGAATTTTCTTTGCCATAAGAAAATTTTTCTAGATGAATTTGACAGGTATTACAGACCCACTACCTATAGTTTATATCAACAAATACTAGGGGTGAGCAGCGGATATATCGATCTGCTAAAACCGATTGAACCGAACCGATCCGCCGCATTTTGGACGGATGCGTGATGACGAGCGAATGGTTGTGGATTGATTTTCTCCAATCCGCCAATTTGACAGACGGATGACAGATTTGAGGTTTCTTTGACCGCAACCGAACCGCCAAACCGCAAGCACTCTTAATAATTTATAAGATTTTGTGTTTTCTATTTGTTTAAATATTTTGTTTGTATTTTCAATTGAAAAAGAGTTTAAATATTCTGTTGAAAAAAAAATTTCAACTTGAATATATTTTTTGAATTGGAAAAAATAAACGTATTATTTATTTATATTTTTTGATTTTTAAATCTAACTCTAAAAGAAATAAATAAAAAATATGATATATGCTGGTTGGTTTTTATTTTCAAAAACATATATAAATGTAACAATATAGAGACATACAATCTCTACTATTACTCTGTTCATGATTTTGGTGGTTTGAATTGTTTTTATATTTTAAGAACCACATATTGTAATACTTTATGTGGATAAAGTATGCTGTGAATGTAATATATGGATGAGGCATACAGTGATTGTGATATTCTAAAGTTTCAAACTTTCTTTCTTTGGATGAGGCATGCAGTAATTGTAATACTTTTTTAAGCCATTGACTGTAATATTTTTTTATTTTTTTATTTTTTTATTTTTTGAGAAAGTGCACAAGTTGAATTATGTTGAAAATTTATAAAATTTCAAACCGTCAAACTGATTCGCATCCATCCGTCAAACCGCCAATCCGCTCAATCCACATCTGCTAGATTGGCGGACGGATACGGATTGATTTTCTCCAATCCGTCAATTTGACGGATGGATGGCGGATTGGAGGTTTCGTGGCCGAAACCGACCCGCGGCCACCCCTAACAAACACAATGCACACTTTAACTGATATTGAAAATTTTTTTTAGATGAATTTGATTGATATTATTATATACACTGTCTAAAACATACATTTCACAAAACAAAATATACAAAATAATCATCAAATGTATTATTCAATCAATAAAATGTATTATCATCAACTATTTAACAAAGGTTCCTTGTATGTCCTCTTATTATGATGACCAATACTCTCACAACTACATTTAATCACCCTTTTAAACTCACCAGTAGAAGCAATTCTGTTTTTTTTCGGCCTCCCAGCTGGTCTCTTGCTCAATGGAGTAAAATCATAACATCTTTAATGCTACACACAAGTTTTTCAACAGTTGAAACTGGGCCAATCGAAAACGAGTATACTTGACAATACATATCAGCATGAAAAAATGGTTCAATAAATGAATTCAAATTCTTTCCACTCCTAAAAATTGCAACCACGGCATGTTGACATGGATACCCATTTATTTCCCATTTTCGACATGAACCAGTTCTCAATTCAAGATCAACCATAACTGAAGGAAAACAATGTACTTCAAAGACATTATCAGATGATAAACTCACATTCCATGTCCCCCCATCCAAGAAAGACTTCTCCAATACACTATCCATACAAGGACAGAGAACTTTATTCCATTTACTAGAGAGCAGCCTCCTATCATACCTCATATTCATGATTTGCAACCGTATCATGTACACCAAATTTATTATTGGCAAGTGCCGAGCTTCTCGTATCCATGAATTGAATGATTCAGCAACATTTGAATACATCTCACCACAACGTTTCCCCTCAAAATATGCATCACTCCAATTTTCATACGGTAAACTTCTCAAGAAAACACTCATGTCTCATCCTCACTTTTTAATTCATTTAACTTGAAATGAAATGATGCCTTGGTTGGCGCATATGGACATTCTGAAAACTTGGACACAATCGTCTTCCTAACCAAATTTGTGTTTCCACATGACAACTTATCCCTCAAATTTCTCTTTAGATGTTTAAGACAAAATCCATGAAATCAGTTAGGAAAAAACCTAGCAATTCCTTCAACAATACCGCAATGTCGATCTGATATGTAACTTATCACCCTTTCTGATCCCAATACTCTACATAAATGTTCAAGGAACCAACACCAATTGTCTTTATTCTCAGCATCAACAACAGCAAAAACTATAGAAAAAAAACCTACAAAACAAATAGGAACAAGCATATTAGATATACATATGCAGAGAAAATTAGAACAATAAACAACTAGAGAAATTGACACTGCCAACATCCAGAGAAAATTCATTTAGTGCCCAATTCTATAGAAAATTCACACATTGGCAACATTTAGAGAAAATTGACTTAGTGACCAACCACAGAGAAAATTTACACAATCAGAATATCCAGAGAAAATACACTTAGTGATCAACCACAGAGAAAATTCACACAATCAGAATATCCAGAGAAAATACACTTAATGACCAACTACAAATACAATTCACACAATGACAACATCCAGAGAAAATTCACACGCTGACCAAGATTCGGTGAAAATTTTCACAGTGGCCACAACCAGAGAAAATTCAAGGTGTCAGAAAAAAAAATCACATTCGCTCAATTCCTCAATGTATAAAAAATTCACGTACTTAGATAAAATTAGATATATTTACAATTACCTTCATTCCCATCTTTTCTCGTTGCAGCAAGCATAACTCCTTTGTATCGTCCTTTCAAAAATGTTTCATCAAGAAAAAGCAATGACCGACAATATTTGAAACTAGTAATGCATGCATGAAAAGGCACAAACACTCTTTTGAAACACTTGTTATCTTCAAATCTAACTCAAAACGACTACCTGAATTGTTCTTCAATGCCTCATCAAAATACCACCGTAATTGATCGAATGACAAACAAAAATCCCCATATGTACTACGTTTTGCTTTTTCAACTCCAAACCAACCACAGTTATAACTGATTGAGACTCCATACTTGTCTTTCATTTCTTTGACAACATCCACTAGACGAGTTAAAGGTTTTGCACTTATCTCTTCAAGTATCAGCCCAGAAACTAAATTGAATGTCATCCTAGCATGTTTACTAGTACAAACTGCCAAACCACACGTATGTTCATTGTTCAAAATTCTTATGTAAAAGAACTCATTTATTTTTTCAACTAAAGCATGTACACGTCACATACATCCCCTTGATTCCTTATATGCACATTCTGCGGTAACCCTCAGCTTGTCATTTTTAACATACGTAACTGAAAGCCAACCTCAATAACATACTTGCATAAAACAGTATGGAACTCAACCACACCACCTTCAAACTTTTGTCCAATACTCGTAATATTATTTCGCCAACTAGCTGACAATAACACATTTTCTTGGTGAGAACAAAACTTAAAGAGAGAATTCTTTTCAATATCTACCAGTCTATCACATTCACCAGCCACAACATCTACCCTATTAGACACACTTCATCCTCTTGATCAGAAGTACTACATCTAGTAATTGAAACATTAACTATATCAACACCACGTGCACAGACAACCCTCAACATATTCAGAAAATCAATATCATTTCGAACCATACAATTTAGATGGCCTACAATAGAATATGAAATACACATCGTCTCAGGTTGCAAATTCTCTCATGTTTTACACAAAATGCCAACTAATTCCTTAAAATTCAATTCGCATGAAACATTAATGACAATAGTATCATTTTCATATTTGCATAGCAATAACACTGCACTATTCATCAAAACTGAAAGAAAAAAACAAGAAAAATAATTTGTTCAACATAAAAACACTTCACAAGAACAACATAAAAGTCCAGAGAAATTTCTAATAATTATAATTTTCTCTGGATTATAATAACAAAACATATCATTTTCTTTGGATTCAAATAAAAGTCTAGAGACATTTACAAACTTATATACACTTTCAAGATAACAAAAACAAAATCACAGAAAAATTAATAAATCCAGATAGAATCACAGAGAAATTTATTGCTAATTATTAAACACAATCATAGACAAAAAAACACACAGAAAATCTATTATAAAATTATAAGTTTCTCTGTGATTTTCACTAAAGTACAAGCTTACAATTTTCTTTGCGTCATTCTGCAATATTATACTCATATCAAAATCTAAAGAAATTTACAAACTCATATACACTTTCAAGATTCCCTAAAAACAGTGCACTGCCCATCTAAACTGAAAGAAAAAATACAAAAAATAACTTTTGCTTAGAAAAACAAAAACTTATGTTTATTTTATACAAACTTATAATTTTCTCTGAACTACAAACTGAAAACGAATAACAAACTTATAATTTTCTCTCAACTACAAATAAAAAACCAGACAAATTTAAGAACTTACATTCACTTTCTCAGATTCTATCTGTACTAGAAACTAATAATATGTCCATATGAACTTGGTCAAAAAACAGAGAATGAAAAATTAATTCCAAAAATAAAAATCAACTCTACCAAGATGGCCTGTCTAAAATTGATCAATAACAGCAAATGAAAAATCAAGTTCAAAAATCATAAATGATTCAACTCCACTGAAAAACCTACGCGATCAACACATTATAACACCTACACGATCGTCGTAATCTCTATCGTGAAGTCCACTGCAACATATGCGAAATCCCTATAAAATCTCCGACAAAATTTCTACCGTGAAATCAGTTTCCAAAATCTCACTGTAAAGTCAGCAGTTTGCCAAAATCCAAACAATCTTATGTTATAACGAGGGTAAATTAGATATTTTATAACATAAAATAAAGTTAGAAATTAGATATTTTATATCTCACCAAAAAATGTGTCATCCTTAGTATGGGGGGCGCAGACTCGCTTATATACCTTCTGCGCCCCAAATCTACTCCCATTAGTCTCTCGACACGTGGTACTGCTATCCCATCTGTTAGCACAGATCTTGCTGAACATCACCTAATCCCAACTGCCAGCCCACTCTACTGGGAGCTCGGCAGCCGGATTGCAGTATCTCGGCTGCCAACGACCATGCTGCACTTCAAGCCCAAGCATTCCAATAACCAAGCTCATTGAGGACCGAGCTCGGCTGTATCCTGACATAGCCGAGATAAATCATGCACCGTGGAACCTCCACACCTTGCCTGGCGCCGGTTATCTCACTCGACCGGCTTCTATACCATAAAGCCAAACAGTTCGGCCGACCACGCCTTGCCTTAACCGAGCAAAACCTTTCAAGATAGGCCCGTTTCACCGCGACCCAAACTTGTTCGGCCCAAATCTGCCCGGCCATTACCACGGCCCAAACCAAACCATAAATCTCTCTCTCAGAAACCATACCTGATTCAACTCCACTGAAAAACCTACGCGATCAACACATTATAACACCTACACGATCGTCGTAATCTCTATCATGAAGTCCACTGCAACATATGCGAAATCCCTATAAAATCTCCAACAAAATTTCTACTGTGAAATCAGTTTCCAAAATCTCACTGTAAAGTCAGCAGTTTGCCAAAATCCAAACAATCTTATGTTATAACGAGGGTAAATTAGATATTTTATAACATAAAATAAAGTTAGAATAATGTTTGAGAGCTCGAAAATCCCTGCCCCCTAATCCCCAAAACGACGTCATTTTGGGCATTAGGTTTTTTTTTTTTCTTTTTTTTTCTTTTTTTCCTTCGATTTTCAGTCTGCAGAGAGAAAGAGAAGAGAAAAAGAGGAGAGGAGGAGAGAGGGAGAAAGAGAAGAGAGGAGAGCTCTGATCGTCTCGCCGCCCGCCGTCGTCGCCTCACCGCCAGCTCCTCCTTCCCGCCGTCGCCCCGCCTCTGCCTCTCGTCGCAGCAACAGCAGCAGCTCCTCCTCCCCGCCGTCGCCCCACCTCTGCTTCCTCCTCTCCCGAATATTATGCCCCCTCCAGTCCCTCCTCCTCCTCCCTCCTTCCCTCCCTCCTTTCTTCCTTCTTCTTCTCCGAGCTTCGTTCTTCTTCTGCAAAAAAAAAAAAAAAAAAAAAATTCAAAAACAACGAAACGATGTCGTTTTTGGTTAGGGGATTAGGGGCCGCTCAGTTTCGAGCGACGTAGCACGGTTGATAAAGTTAACATATGATTCAGTACCTCTCCTCCTATAAAAGTGAGAGAGAGACCTTAGGTCAATTTTCCCTAAAATAACACCAGCTACTCGGGGGTGAATCCTCAATAATACCACAATTTAGAAGAAGATAAAAGATTTAAATCCTATCATAAATGTTTTTGAATCATCTTCAACAAAAACACAACACAACACAATTCCACATAATTGGTTATGCAAAAACAAGAGTTTGGATTTTAATATATTAACATTCAGGCTTTAAGTAAGTAAAATAGTTCATTCATCTTCTTTCTCTTCATCATTCTTCTTCCTACCTTTGTCTTCTCCAATCTTCAATCCTTCAACACAGCCCTCCTCCTCTCTCATCTCCGCCACTTCCGCCCTCCCCTCCACATCGCCGCCGCCCTTCTCAGCTACACATTCCTTGATCTCCACCACCGTATCAGATGATTCGCCATCATTTGGCCGCAGATCGTCGTCTGTGGATGAAATTGAAGCGGCGCGTGAGCCCACTGCAGAGGCGGCTTTGAGGAAGGCTTCGTGGATGGATTCAGGCGGAAGCGCAGAGTCTTCGAGGCCGGCGTCCTCCAAGCGCGGTGGTCGAATCTTATCTAACAAATCCTCGACCTCCCTTGTTGCCTCCATTAACTGTAAACCCTAACCCTAACCAATAGCGAAGAACAACTCCAATAGCAATATGTGTGTGACCAGCATAGAGTTGGAGAATATTATGAGCTTGTTTGGGAACTCCGTCGTCAGCCTTGCGTCGTCGCGGGGCCGGAGAAGAACTCCGTCGCCTCTTAGAGAACAAGCTGCGAAATCGGAATATGGTGAGGTGTGGGAGAGAGAGAGAGAGAGAGCGAGAGAGAGAGAGAGACCTTGATGTAGCTGACGGTGTAGATCTCGACGGAGACGGCGTAGATCTCGTGTGCTCTGATTTTTACGATCCAAACCAAGACAAACTCGATCTAACCAGATCTAGAAGGACGGTGGTGGTGAGAGGAAAGACGGTGGTTGGCGTTGATCTGAGCTCGTCGGAGGTGTGAAAGCTCTCCGGCGAGACGACGGTGGTGCTTCGCCAGATGGAGTTGTCGTCGGAGCCACCGTTGATGGGCGGCTATGTGCAGTCGAACAGTGATAAGAGTGAGAGTAAAAGAGAAGAGAGAGAACTACTGTGTAGGGTTTGAGATTTGGACGGCATATATATTTATTTTTGAGAGGATTTGGACGGTATATAGGGTAGGGTAAATTACAACGTGGGTTTTATTTAAATTATAAATTATTTTTTATAATTTTAAAAATTATATTTATCATGTTTGGTTGGGTTTTTTTAAAAAATATTTTAAAAAAATGATTTGAAAATTATTTTTTGAAAAAAAATATTTGTTTGATTTTCAAAAAAATATATCATTAAAATTTTAAATTTTCCTCTAAATTAATGATTGAAACAATTAAAAAAACATTAAAAAATCACATCAAAACATTCCCTTATTTTTTTTAAATATATATATATATATACCTAAATATACCTATATGTACTTATATTTTTAGAAAAATGTATCTATTCAAAGCCTATTTTTGTGTTCTTAGATTTTCAAAAAAACGTACCCATCAGAAAAAGATACCTAAATTTTTAAAGCCTACCTATATGTACCTATTCTACTGAAGCCAACCTATCTCATTTATTTTTTTGAAAACATAACTTATTTTTCAGAATAACCAAACAAGTTGTATAAAATTTTCAAAAAACTATATTAAAAAAATCACAACCAAACACAGTGATTATGTCTTTAAAATTTTTAATTTAATAATAAATAAAGTCATTTTATTAATAAATTATTAAGTTAATTAATAATTTTTAATAATATTAAAATTTTATTTTAATTAATAATTTAGATAATTTTATTATTATATAAGTGAATAGCTAGAAATTTTAATTTTTCAATTGATTCTGTTAAATAAATTTTTTTTGTAGGGAGATATTTGTAATTTTCCAGACTATAAGGGACAATTCTTATTTTAAGCAAACCTCAGAGGGTGTATTTGTAATTTACCATATATGATATATAAATAAAGGGTATTTTGGTCATTTTGTTTTAATTTGTCTTTTTGAACAAAATATTTTAACGTTTGGATTTTTGACTAAACAAAATAAAAAATTGAATTTATGAACTGAGTACCCTATAGTTTAATCCCTATGATTTAAGTTCAGTTTCAATTTGATTATTCTATCAAATTTTTTTTTTTTGTTACTCTGCCGCTCTATAATTATGGGTTGTTATTTTATTTCCTTTCAAGTGAAAATTGTTACATTTTACATGGTAATCTTCTTATTTATTTTGATCTAAACATTCTATTAATGTTTGGAAAACATTATGGTGCATATCTTTTAAAGGAAAGTGCACTATATGCGCCTTGTAATTAAAAAAAAGGACATAATTTTAATTTTTTGAGTCATAACTGTCATAACTTAACATAATATGAGGTATAATTAAGTAACTCATGAATCATAACTCAAGAAGAAAATTAATCATATTTAAAGAAGAAAATGACATAACTAGGAGTGCATATGGTATACTCTTTTTAAAGAGGTGTATCCCTTAATGGTTTATGACGTCTCCCAACGGATCAAAAGGACATGTGAATTGTTTTATGGCATCCCCTAGCTAATCAGAAGGAATTAGAATCCTCTCATTGATTTCTCTCCTTAACTCACTGCTTGTTAGGTCATTGGGTCCACTTTTGGATTTATTTTTGATAATCTGAACCATTCACATTTTTAGATTTGTTGAGTATATCTGTAAAAAATCAAGTTGATCGGATATTAAAAATTACGTGTTCGAATCATCGAGCTACAAACCATTTTTTTAAAAAATTTAATAAACAATTTTCTAAACACATGCTTTTTGATATCCGATTAACTTGATTTTTTACAAGTATGATAAACTCAACAAATCTTAAAATATGAATGGTTCGGATCATCGAAATTGGGCTCAAAAGTGGGCCTAATAACCTAGTAAGTTGGGAGTTAAGGAGAGAGATCAAGAAGAGGATCCTGATTCAATAAGAAGGACATCTCCATGGCAGACCCTCCATCTTTACTCTTCTAATGCCTCTGAAAGAAGAGTCTAGATCATCTGCCATGGTCGTCTGCGGCGCTTTCGACCTTTTTCTTTTCTTTTCTTTTTTTTTTCCTTCCTCTTTAGCTTTTCAACCTCTCTTTCACTTCATCATTTTCAAAACACCACAGAATAGAGAAGTTGTTCAGGATGTTTGATCCGGATGGAAAAAGGTACATCACGATGGCATGAAATGTGATCTATGTTTTTTTTGTTGGAACACACAAAGTGGGTTTCATTCATGAAGTTTTTTGTTTTCTTTGGATATATACATATATTTGAAAACAAAGTGGGTTTGAAAACTTCAAGATCAGATTCATGAAGTTTTCGAAGGGGGTTTGAAATGAAAACTGATGATGCAGTTTGTTCTGGTGAATGGATCGGACAGGTCCAAGCTCCTCAGGCCCACGTCCAAATGATCAAGCCCACCAGATAACCTGCAAACAAGTCCAACGGGGAACGGGGTAGTCTCCCAGTGAATCCTCCGACGAGCAAGTTAGAAGGAAAAGTAGGGTGTAGAGAGAGATTAGAGATAGAAAGCTTAACCTTCTTCTTGTCTTCAACGTTTCCTTATATCCTTTGGTAATCATTTCGCTGTCCCTTCCGACCTGCCCCCCTGGCCGAAAGTCTATACTGTAGCTTACCTTGTTCAGGGTAAGGGGGTCCTGTTCCGACGGAGAGGTGTTGTCGTAATAAATGCTGTGATGGGGTGCATTAATGGTGATGTGTTGTGGTAATAACTCTGCAGATCTTTGTCTGCTGATGTGGCCCGTGTTCCACCTGCCATGTGCCCGAATGCCATTGGCCCCCCATGCCTAGATGGCCTCCAGCTATCCTGGGCTTTGCCAACCGGGTTATGCTATTGGTCCCAAGCGATGGGTTTGGGGTGGTTTGCTGTGGGCCGTATGCCTCGTGGGCCTATCCATGTCACAGTTAATAATTTTTAAAGACTATAATATCAGGTCTCGATCTGGTCTTTGAGGTTAATACACTCGTCGCCCTTCATTCGGTCACCCTGCACAGTCGGACACCTGCGGTCGTTCACCCTCTCGGTCACCCCTGCCGGTCGACCTCCATCCTGCCAATTCCCTAACACCCTCATCTTCTTCATTTGGTATTCCCTTCGTTGGACTAAAGCTGCACTCGAGAATGGGGACTACTGACGTGTATAAGCCCATAAAGGCCATGAATCACTATGAACAAACAAGCCCATCACTTGGAGCCCATACATAACCCAGCTGGTGAGGTCCAGAACAATTGAATCCAACATGGCATAAAGAGCCAATGACATTCAGACACGTGGCAGGTGAGGACGAGCCACATCAATAGACAAAGATTGCAAAGTTATTGACACTGCACATCACTATTTAATGCACCCCATCACAGCATTTTATTACGACAAACACCTCTCCGTCGGAACAGGACCCCCTTACCCTGAACAAGGTAAGCTACAGTATAGACTTTCGGCCAGGGGGGCAGGTCGGAAGGGACGCGAAAATGATTACCAAGGATATAAGGAAACGTTGAAGACAAGAAGAAGGTTTAAGCTTTCTATCTCTAATCTCTCTCTACACCCTACTTTTCCTTCTAACTTACTCGTCGGAGGATTCACTGGGAGACTACCCCGTTCCCCGTTGGACTTGTTTGCAGGTTATTCTGGTGGGCTTGATCATTTGGACGTGGGCCTGAAGGAGGCTTGGACCTGTCGATCCATTCACCAGAAACAAACTGATCATCAGTTTTCATTTCAAACCCCCTTCGAAAACTTTCATGAATCTGATCTTGAAGTTTTCAAACCCACTTTTTTTTCAAATATATGTATATATCCAAAGAAAACAAAAAACTTCATGAATGAACCCACTTTGTGTGGTCCAACAAAAAAAACATTAATCACATTTCATGCCATCGTGATGTACCTTTTTCCATCCGGATCAAACATCCTGAACAACTTCTCTATTCTGTGGTGTTTTGAAAAATGATGAAGTGAAAGAGAGGTTGAAAAGCTAAAGAGAAAGAAAAAGAAAAAAAAGAAAAGAAAAGAAAAAGAAAAAAGGTCGAAAGCGCCGGCAGAACGACCATGGCAGATGATCTAGACTCTTCTTTCGGAGGCATTAGAAGAGTAAAGATGGAGGGTCTGCCATGGAGATGTCCTTCTATTGAATCAGGATCCTCTTCTTGATCTCTCTCCTTAACTCCCAACTTACTAGGTTATTAGGCCCACTTTTGAGCCCAATTTCGATGATCCGAACCATTCATATTTTAGATTTGTTGAGTTTATCATACTTGTAAAAAATCAAGTTAATCGGATATCAAAAAGCATGTGTTTTAGAAAATTGTTTATTAAATTTTTTAAAAAAATGGTTTGTAGGCTCGATGATTTCGAACACGTAATTTTAAATCCGATCAACTTGATTTTTTACAGATATACTCAACAATCTAAAAATGTGAATGTTCAGATTATCAAAAATAAATCCAAAAGGACCCAATGACCTAACAAGCAGTGAGTTAAGGAGAGAAATCAATGAGAGGATTCTAATTCCTTCTGATTAGCGTAGGGATGTCATAAAACAATTCACATGTCCTTTTGATCCGTTGGGAGACGTCATAAACCATTAAGGGATACACCTCTTTAAAAAGATATACACATATGCACTCCTAGTTATGTCATTTTCTTCTTTAATATGATTAATTTTCTTTCTTGAGTTATGATTCATGAGTTACTTAATTATACCTCATATTATGTTTAGTTATGACAGTTATGACTCAAAAAATTTAAAATTATGTCCTTTTTTTAATTACAAGGCGCATATAGTGCACTTTCCTTTAAAAAGATATGCACCATAATGTTTTCCAAAACATTAATAGAATGTTTAGATCAAAATAAATAAGAAGATTACCATGTTAAAATTAACAATTTTCACTTGAAAGGAAATAAAATAACAACCCATAATTATAGAGCGGATAGAGTAACAAAAAAAAAATATTGATAGATAATCAAATTGAAACTGAACTTAAAATCATAGGGATAAATTATAGGGTACTCAGTTCATAAATTTCAATTTTTTATTTTGTTAGTCAAAAATCCAAAACGTTAAAATAT